CCTCAGACCCAAGGCTAAAGCAGCAGACGTAGCTTGTCCCCCAGACGCGGGGTCTGGAGTTTCCGAGCCTGTCAGTTGCCAGAGGGGAGACCGGGGTCCCCCGTGGCTGCCGGGTGGGGGAGGAGGGACAGCGAAGGCCTGCTCCATGACGGTAAATGGTCTTCGTCAACACCGCCGGCGCTCTGTACGAAAGACCCGTACACCGAGCGTGAGAGCAGGGAGGCTGCGAGGATACCCTCGTACTTGCAACCCACTTAGTGACGGAGGACCGACCTAGAGCAGGCGCTTAGGAAACTCCACAGCTCAACAGCACGCACGTTAGCTAGGAAACGGCAAGGACCACGGAGACGTTTCGCGAAGAGGACAGACGGACAGCAACCAGGCACGTGAAAGGAGGCATCGCCTCAGCCACCAGGGAAATGGGGCGGGGTCACACTGAGACCGCGACACGCCCACAGGACAGCCGAGATGCCGGGACGATGCTCGGTGACAAGGCCGGGGCTGCGAGCACAGAGAGAGTGGGCTCATCGCGTAGGGCGACGCGCGGGCACTCCGGAGACAGTCGGGCAGCGCCTTAGAGAACGGAACTGACGCCTAGTGTGGCCCAGTCCCAGCACTGGCACTGCCGCGGCCCTCTGCTTGCCCGCACTCCAGCCAGGCTCTGGAGCCTTCTGGGCGACCTACGTGCTCTCTGATGTAAAGCCCGCTCTTGGCACGAGGACCCCCTAAACCACGCTAGTAGTGCACGCCACCCTCGGAGCTGAGTCCCTACTGTGGTCCGGGCAGGTTCGTCCTCTCCTCTGCCCCGCCCCGCCCCGCCCCAGGGGTGTCCGACTGTGCTGGCCTGTCCTCAGGAAGAACCCCGTCAGGCCAGGTTAGCCAGAACCCGCACCCCCATGCTTCCTCTCGGTAGTCTCCACGCAGGGGCCCCCACCTTCTCGGCCTCCGGGCACAGCAGCACCGAGCATCCCTCACTCCAGCAGGCCCTGCCACGGCCCCTGGACCTGCAGCCACAGCCTGAACCAGACCTCCTGATGGTGCTGGCCAGCTACCCTGCGCCACGCTGCCTCGGACAGCGCCCATCCCCAGGAAACGAACACAGACATTAAGGCAGATTTACTGTGTGTGCGTGGTGCACGCGTGTGTGTAGTGTATGCGTGTGTGGTGCATATGTGCATGCAGCTATATTCCTGCCTTGGCCTCCCAAGGAACAGGGACCGCAGGTGTGCACCACTGCAAGATGTGCAGGCAGCTTGGTTTTTAATGGTAAAAACTAAAATAAATAAATAAATAAATAAAAATTATGGTTCAAGAAGTGAATGGTTAAACAAACCATGCGCATTCATACCATGGAAACCCACTCAGCAATTACAACTAAACAAAACAAAATAAGAACTCTTGATTCATAAAACTTGCACGGATCTCAAGGGACTAGGCTGAGTGGGGAAACAATGTATTTATGTACTACTTACGAGGCAGTGTCTAAATGACAAAGTCACAGGATGAAAACAGATTAGTGGCCTCGGGGACAGGGTTGCGCGCAGCACGAGGGAGCCCTGGTGGTGGGAGCTCGTGTCTGGATGCCGCCCACGGTGGTTTCAAGAATCCGCGCCATGTTTAATCGGCACAGAACTGCAGAGACGGACGGACCGACGTCCTCCGGCCTGAGGCTTACTGTACGCAGAAGCAGTGACCAGTGGGGGCAGGTGGGGTACGAGGACCCTCTCCTCACTGTCTCTATGAGCTCCCTGACTCTACATAACTATCTCAAATTTTAAAAAGTGCTTCCTAAAAAGACACCTTGACCTCTGCTTTTCACTAGGTTCTGCAGTCGAGCAGCTGCTCAAAGGCTATTGAAGACATGGCATTTTTTCGAAATCGTCGCTCTTCTACGTGGGTGTGTACGCAGGTCGGCCAGGACTTGCGCAGTGAGTTCTAGCTTCCTGCGGAACGAGCGGCCCTCCAGCGGGCCAGGCAGGACAGGGTGCCCGGGCCCCTCCATCTCAGCTCGCAGCCAGGCAGGGCCTTCCCCGGGGCCTCCCTTCCTGCCCGGCTCTGGGAAACTCAGGCTTCTCCGTGGGGGCCAAGCTGTTCTGGGGGAGCACCTGCCACAGCAGGAGCCCCCAATACACTCCATGTGCTTTTCAGGTTTATCTCGCACCCCCAAGGAAGCATATGAAAACCACTTCTAGACGCTCATTTCAATGTTTCTCTACAATTCACTAACGAAGACTCCTAACAGGGCATGTCAATGACCTCATACTTCCTCCCTCTCCAAGTAAACCACCACGTCAGTAGGGTATACACCACCCACCTTACTCTGTGGCGTGGTCCCCGCAGTCTGTTTCATTACCGACCCCAAGCAATGCCCTCAGATGGCCTCCCTCTGTACAGCAGGGACTGTCGGGGTGGGACCCCAGGCTGCCGTGCGGGCCCCGAGTCCTCTGAAACACGCAGGGGGCACCTTCTCACCACACACAGACTCGCAATTGCCAGCACGAGCGCCAATTACCCAGCTGTGCCACAGCGGGGACTCGCCAGGGACCGCTAAGACCCAATGCCGCTTGCTCAGTTCTGACCGGCCGCAGGAGGCTGCTTGGGGACGCGTCCATTCCCTCGCACGGTGCGAGCTTAGTGCGCGTCTCTCTCAGCTCCGTCCCGGCCCTCCGCTAACAGCTACCTAGAGCGCACACTTGCCAACAACACACCCACCTGGGAACCAGAAACTCAGCTTAACACAGCTCTGCAGTTCAGGGCTATCAAAAACAGGGCTGCACGTTCTCAGACGGAAGGTGGAAACGCCCTCGATTATGATCTAATCATCTCTGTGCTATGATATATTAAAAAAAGAAGAAGAAAAAGAAAGGCCAGTTGTTTAAGGAGAAGGGAAAGATGAGACACACCTCAGTGAGTCAACCCAGGAAAAAACAAAGAGGGGTGGGGCTGGAAACCCAAGCATGTCCAATGCCAATCGAGATATCTAGTTGGACAGGCCAAGCACAAGACACAGGGACAGAGCTCATCACCGGCTTTTCTGTGTACAGACCCGCTCCTCGTGCACTCCAGTGTGACCTGGCCCCCGCGCTGGAAAGAGACCATGCTCTCTGGTGGGGCCGGCAGTGGGCATTACCTGGACCCCAACACTCCAGCTCTAGGTGTAAATGAGAGAACTTGCCTCTTCTGGAGGTTAATCCGGACGCTTGAACAACAGCGATACGTTAGGCGGTATTATACACTTACCCTCTTAGGTATGATAGCGTAAGGAGAACAATCCTCTTCTTGCAATACACCTGCTAAAATACCCAGGCTTTAAGTGTCACGATGTTCGCAGCCTACTTTCAGGTACTCAGAGAGGTACGTCTGTTTTCATATAAAGAGAGAAAAGGCAACGAGGCGGAATGTTAGCAAGGGAACAGGTGGATACAGCAATGATGCATGGCGGCCACTACCCAACTGTTCTATCGATTTATACATTTTTAAATAAAAAATAGGGAGAAAATGCACCCTATTAGTGTGAATTATAATTTTGCTATACATAGAGTTTTGCAAACAATATTGACATGATAGGTTATCAGTACTGAATATTGATGGGGGCCAACTCCGTGCGGCAGTAAAATTAAATACTGACAGCTCTACAAAAATGTCCCAGAGACCTGTCCTCCACCAGCTAGCTGTACGGCTATTTTTCAGAAGTTGTGCATTATATTGGGACCAGCAGATGGGAGTAATGGCTGCGTTGCTGGACTTGCATGTAGTCGACCGCAGTTCGAGTCCTGGACTTGGCAGGTTAAAACTCAGGCTGGGTGTGTGTGCACCCAAAATTGGGATAGGAGAATGGAGAAGGGATCGTGGCAAGGCCATCCCCCCTGGGGGGTGAGTTCTCGCTTTCTGTCTCTCTGTCTCTCTCTTTCTGGTGAGCGCACACGCCCTATAGCAAAAACCTCTCCAAAAAAAGAAAAAAAAATTTCATTTGAAAGAGCAAAGATTATGTCTGTGTTTCAGAAACAAAGTATCATTAAGTAATCAGAGGGCAAAGACTTTTCTGGCAATTCAATCGTACCCTATATATGATTCACAAAGAGGCTGAAATTGCTGAAATACATATATAACCAAAGACACATTAAAATGCAGTATTGCTAAAAGTGCAGTTGAGCAGAGAAAAGAATATTTTTAAATGTTTTCCTCAGAATAGATTTCCTAATGATGCCTACTTTAAGATCACATTTAAAGCTAATTTTCTCTGGGAGCCACTGTGGTGGTAATACAACTGGACCCCCACGAGAAGGGTCCTAGGTTCACATCCCGAGACCTCCCGGTGCATGTCAGGTGGAGCCTGCATCCGTGTCCAGGACCCGAGCTGGCTGGGACTACAGTGACAGAGCCTGGAGACCCTGTGGGGATGCCCGTCTGCTGCTTCTTTCTCGTGGAACAAACAAACTTTAAAAGAAAACCTTTTTTTTTTTTTCCTGGACGACTAAGGCAAGACTGTAAGTGTGGAATGAATTCCTTTACATGAATCCAGTTTTCTGAAAATGCAGTATTGCTAAAAGTGCAGTTGAGCAGAGAAAAGAATATTTTTAAATGTTTTCCTCAGAATAGATTTCCTAATGATGCCTACTTTAAGATCACATTTAAAGCTAATTTTCTCTGGGAGCCACTGTGGTGGTAATACAACTGGACCCCCACGAGAAGGGTCCTAGGTTCACATCCCGAGACCTCCCGGTGCATGTCAGGTGGAGCCTGCATCCGTGTCCAGGACCCGAGCTGGCTGGGACTACAGTGACAGAGCCTGGAGACCCTGTGGGGATGCCCGTCTGCTGCTTCTTTCTCGTGGAACAAACAAACTTTAAAAGAAAACCTTTTTTTTTTTTCCTGGACGACTAAGGCAAGACTGTAAGTGTGGAATGAATTCCTTTACATGAATCCAGTTTTCTGGAACACTACTGTAACTCATGAAAAATGGATCGCCACCTATCACCTTGAGGATGCACAATCATGTCAGATTAATCCAATTAATCTCATAATAATGACTTAATTATAACTTACTGAAGACTTTGAATTACCTTTGAAATCCAGTTGTCACCCATACAAATACACACACCAATGACACAAAACTGAGGACATTCTAGAAATGACAGAAAACAAACGTGGTTTCGATGAGCCGGACCCAGGCACAAGAACATGCAATCCGGCTTCCCAGAGGCAGAGCCACAGAGCCTGGCCTGGGAGACACACAGGGCAAGGCTTCGGACTGAGGCCGACATCTAAGTCGGGTCCCGAGTGACTAGGGGCGGCGGGGTAAGCACGGGGCAGGTGGCCTGCAGGTTAGTGAGTCTCAGCCAGGAGGGCCCGGCCAGGCGGCAGCAGAGTGTGCGGCATTCAGACACGCGTGGGAGCTCCTCGTCTGTCCCTTTAGGACCACGGTGGTGAGGCTCTGTACGTCTGGCTGTCACAGGACTCTGCTATCAACAGCCAAGCGACAGAAAGAATACCACTGACAGCGCTCTGGGGAGACCAGGGAGCTGGAAGCGTCTCAAACGTAGTTGCCCGCAGGCAATATTTCATTGACACAAGGAGCCAAGTCGTAGGGACATTAAAATTGAGGCAGGGACCAGCAGATGGCGTGAAGGTTACGTCGCCTTGTCTCCCACAGAGCTGGCTGCGGTTCAAGTCCCGGACCCGGTGACTGAAAAGACATGCTAGGCGTGTGTGCCCAAAGTTCCGAGAGGAGAATGAAGGAAAAGGGACTACGGTGGGGCCAACCCCCTTGGGGGTGATTTCTTGCTTTCTGTCTGTCTCTCCGGGGAGCATACGTGGCCGATAGCAAAACTCTTTCTCTAAAAAAGCCACCGAAACGGGTAAGAGACGACTGTACAGCTGCTGTCACCCCACCGTCCGAGGACTGACCGAGGACCATGAGACACCCTTGCTGCACACAGGACAGGTCCCTGCACTGACTCCAAGAGGCAGGGGAGGGGACTTTCCACAGAGATGGCCGGGGAGAAGTGGAGCCTGGATCGTAGAATGGAGCAGAAGCCACAGAGGTCCGGCCCAGAGGAAATACAGTGGCCACCGCGAGGCCCGCCCCCACGGTGGACGTCAAGTCTTCCAGGCACATGGGGGTGGGGTGGGGCGTGTGGGAAGAGACGGCAGGATGAGCCCGGCTCCAGGGCCACACCGAGTGCCTGCTGGAATCCCGGCCCCACCACCACCGTCGGGAGCCTGACCAAGCTGCTTAACCTCGGCAGTCCCCACTGTGGACATGGACAACCCTGTTGGGCCTAGACGGTGAGGGGCAGGGTAGGCCCAGCACTCCGCACTCAGACCAGTATGGGCACAGCTGCACCTGTGGGTGAGCCTGACTGGGACGCTCGGCCCACAGCACGGAGAGCTGGGTCCCACACGGCTGGGCACGTGTGACCCAAAGGAGAAGAGCGGAAGGACTCGGATGTGCCCACGCCCTACCGTGGAGGGGGCTTGCATGCTGCTCACTTGCTCTGGCAAATAAGAACCTTCAATGCTGTGTCTGGATTCTCACTGATCTGGGTTTAAATCCCAGCTCTGAAATATACTGGGCTGTTGGAAAAGTCACGATGTATTTTTTCTGCATTTTTCTATGCAAAAACGTGCCATGACTCTTCCGAGAGCCCATCACCGGGTGGCTTGGGCAGGTTACCGAACCACTCCGAGCCTCAGTGTTCTTATCTGTAACATGGGATTAGTAGGACCTGCCTCTTGGTTTCACTTTATTTATTTAATGTTAAGTCAACCCAGTAACACATGTCCAGCGCTTACTGGCACAGGCCCAGTGACGGCGTGGCCACCCTTGTGCTCAGCCGGAGCGGCGCGGGCCCGCACCCTGTGTTCCTGACTGGCTGGAATGTCCTAGCCAGCAACTCGTTACACAGACGCTTCTACCATTTCCTCGAATAAAACTCTTCTAACAAAAACTAAGTTTCTAATTTCATTTCCTGAGAGAGGGAGGGAGAGGGGCGCGAGAGAGGGGCTCTGCAGGGTCCTCTGGTGCCGCGGGGGCAGGGGCAAGGGCAAGGGCAGGGCAGGGGCAGGGGCCGGGCAGGGGCGGGTGCTCCCACACGGTCTCCACGCACCACAGCGTTGCTGCTGCCTGCACCACCTCGGAGGGCCAACCCAAGGCCTGATGTTACTAACAGCAGCTGGGCCCCATGTAGCTGACTGTAAGGTTCAAGTCCCGGGCCCGGCAGCCTGAAAAGCACACCAGGCACATGTGTCCACGATCCCAAGAGAAAAGAGAGAATCCACCTCGGTGCCTGGTTTCTCACCTTCTCTCTCTCTGATGAGCACACCCTGCAGTATAACTAAAAAATAAAGGAGACTACATATTTGAGAACACTGAGTCGGGATAATCAATACCAGACATACTTCAGAAAATGACAGGAAAATATATATGTATATTATGTGTATACACACACACACACACACACATATGTATATATTCACATATAAAATTCGGGCGTGTAGGCAAAGGCATCAAGGAACTTATAAGAAAAATAAAAAGCAACATTTTATGCCAGAAAAAAATTACATTACCGTAAGAAAGAAAATGAGAGCCAAGAATTTCACAGCCAGTGAGACTCGTCTTTAAGCAGGAACAAGACACTGCCGTCATATGTAAGTGCGGGGAGGAGGGAGCAGGGAGCACATATGAGTGGGTGGAGGGGAAGGAGGATGGGCGGAGCGCAGCGTGTGGCTGATGGCCACATCCCGCTCTGAAAGCGCAACAGCACGTGGGAGGGCAGCCGCGAGCCCCGCCAACGGCCGTGGTCTGCTCTCAGTAAAGGGCCCCGGGCATGCCGGGCACGCGGCCCCCCCAAGTCCCCGGGAATGTTCATTGTTTCCCTCAAACTGTCGGATGTGTGATGTGTGACAGCACAGAGCAGCAACCCTGAAACACGCCCTCGCCCCAAGGCCTCTCTGTACTCAACACTGTCCACTGGGAAGACCCGGAAAAGACTAAGTCGGTGGCAGGGAGCACCCCGGCATGTCGCAGGCCTGATGTGGGTCTGACGAGCTCCCTCCACCGAAAAACTAAACTAAGCAAGGCTTCTTAGAGACTACCCAGGCGCAAGCAGAAACCAGACATGTTCCTGGAACGCCTCGGGTTATAGGGTACTGAGAAAAACCAGGAGTGTGCCCTGGGGGGAACGCTGTACTGAGGCCCAAACAGAACAGACACGGGTCGGGGAACCCAGAACATCCAAGAAGCCTGCTGTAACCACACAGCATGGACATTTCCACAAAGGGGATACTAAGAAGGAAAAGGGGAAAGGGCCAGAGCAATACTCAAGGAATAACTACTCGGAGTCCCCC